GTGTCTCTGCATTTTTACTAGTAATGGTGAGAGTGAGCACTAGCAACACTATTGTCTGTTTAACTCAGAGATTAACATATTTTCCCAGACAAAAATAACCTTGTACGATAACTATTTATCATCCTTCACTCCAATAACCAATATTTTCTTATGTTGTACGATAATCATAATTATCATGATGTTTTTGTTGACTACTGGTTGGAATTTTGACTTTGATCACTTTGTCACGGTAGGAAACATGCAGATTTTAATAGTGAAAGTCTAAAAATTCAACAAAGCTCATGGAGTAAAGCTTGGTTTCTGCATTGATTCCTGAACATAAAAAAACAGAAGACTTTAAGCCTTGCATGTTCGAGTACATTCAGGACAAACTCTCCTGTTTAAATACACATTCATGTTCTTAAGTTCATATAAATATCACAAGTATAAAGGAGACACTAAGACCACTTTGTACACAGAACAAAAATCGACTATCCGATCCACCATGTTAAGATTCCGAATGCGAAGGAAATTGGGGACCAACTGTTTGCAACCTTTCTAACCATGCAATCCTGGTGCTCGACTTCTTTAAGTTGAGGAAAATCTCCCGGTATTCCTGCTTCAGGAATATATCTAGAGCAAACAAGTAGAGTTCACCCCCCTGTTCAAGTTCTTCAATTGAATCTAGGCACTTGATGCAATCTTCAATACTGTAACTGGGCTTGGGTAGCGGAGATTGAATAGTCATAAAGCTCCTTGATTCGACAGCATCATAACAACGCTCTATGTTGCTATCAGGTATCGCACTCACTGGCTCTACAGCATGAAAACCCGTGTTCATTGAATCATCTTGGTACTTTGAAAAATGAGTAGGAGCTTCTCTTTCAGTCAAGTAATTATGGTGCTTTTTTGGCCGAGTAGATGGCTGTGTCAAAGTCGTACAATAGTTGTGCCTCCTACGTCTAAGAGGTCTTACTGTTCCTCCAGACCCTGCAGCTACACCAAAAATGATGTCTAATTTGTCAGCAAATAGAAGTTCCTTGAACCGATATTGAGCAGCATCAGGATTTGCCTGTGATAAGAAACATCATTCCGTTAACAAGCCAGTGTCAAGAGTAGAAAGCTCTCATCCTTCTCAAAATCTTTTATTAAGCTACGCAAATGTTATTTTACATATTTGTGTACTGTATCCATTTGCAAGGAAAGTAGCATACCTCTAAATACTCGACCCATTCTTCTTCACTGGCACCAAACCTTCGAGTCTCTGGATTCCATTTCATTGTGTCAGTAGAAACCAACTGATGCCAGGTTGTCCAATGTTTTTTGGTGACATCTAAATGATTCTTCAGTTGAACCTTTTCATACCCCAGACCTGTTCTTGTATGAAACGAATTCAAAATATTCACCCAACCATCTTTATTAAAACTAGTCCCGGGCCTATTCCCTATTGATATCTGCTCAAGACACAAGTCAACGAAGATTTCATGAAGCTCAGGTGTCCAATTAGCTTTAACTTGATTCAGTTTCACCTTCCTCTGATGGCTTCCCATTTTCAAGATGTTTGATATGCACGCAAGAATCTGCACCCAATACCATCTAATCAAGGTGTCAATTGCCATCAAATTACGAGTTTCCAAACTCAAATAGTACGACAAAGTATCAACAGAGTAATACCTAACTAAATAGTGATCACTATGTTGAACAATTAGCACCAGTACATGCCCAATGCAATCATCCCCTTATCAGGGAAATCCACATAAATTGTTTCTTACAACTTAAGCGAGATGGGTTGGAAATGAATTTTACACCGGTTAGAGACCTAAAGCCAATTCAGCACCAGTACGACAAAGTATCCACAGAGTAATACCTAACTAAATAGTGATCACTA